TAGATGAGATTTTCCAAAATGTTTATCAGTACTGCCCCAATGTTTTCTTCAGAATATCAGTTTTATTAAAAAAAAGAATTCTTGGGCCAGGGAGACAGCTCAGTGGCATAAGCACCTGCCTGATAACTGCAAGGACCTGAGTTCAATGCACAAAAAGGGGAAGGGGGAGAGGACTGTTTGATCAAATAAATGAAATACTATATATTACCCCTTCTTACAGATTCAAAATTAATATGGATATAACTGTATCAAAGGCTCTATGAATGCACATATCACAACAAAGGCACTAGGAAGCCTTATAGGAAGCCATGTGCTAGCTGGGCCTGGTGGTGGACGCCTGTAATCTTAGCACTTGGGAGGCTAAGGCAGGAGATCATTTGGTTTGTCGCATCATTTGCCCATTGCATTTGACCAAGAACTTTTCTGGCCCAAATAGCTCCTATAAACATCCTTCTATCTGGAAGATCATTTTACAGTCCAATTTCCCTACAAGGTCCTTATGTAGAAATACATCTGGAAGGACCAGAGGAATGAGTTTGTAAGATCATCGAACTTATTTCTTCATTCGGTATTCTTCTTAATCTTCCCAAGAAAAGGAAGATTAAACTGACTCCTCTACATGTGACTTCTATATTTTTAAACAATGCTATTAACAGGTAATACACACGAGATATGTGTACCTTTTCCCCTACTGCATGACAAACATGATGGCATGATGCACAGGAGAATGTTTTCAACTTATTGCTACCATGCTGTATGTAGTCATGACAAAATATATATTTTAGAATAAACCGATGTTTCAGATTTTTAAGAAATAACAAACCTCAGTTGGATAGGTACTGCTACATAGATCACACTAATTATTTAAAAATAAAGGGGCCAGGGAGATAGCTCAGTAGAATAAGCACTTGCCTGGCAAGCGCAAGGGCCTAAGTTCAATCTCTGGTTCCACAAAAAAAAAAAGGCAGACTTGTTCATGCAAACAAAATTTTTCACTGAATTAACTTGTCAGATGCCGTGTTTCAAAGAACCTTTGCATTAGATAAGCATATTAAGTTTAGAATAACCAGGAAAAAAATTCCATTTGTATTTAACTCATGAGGCCAAACATAAATGTCAACCAAATACCTAAAGGGGGAAATACTTAGTAAAATAGACAACTATATTCTTTCTTTGTTTATAGAACATATATGCCCTAGAAAAAATTAAAGGTCCATTTCTACAAAGTACATCTTATATACTTACATGACTTCTGTAATAAAACTGAATTTTTTTTGGAACCGGAGATTGAACTCAGGCCCTTGTGCTTGCCAGGCAAGTGCTTATTCCACTGAGCCATCTCCCTGGCCCCTTGTTTTTTTGTTTTTTAAGACAGGGTCTTGCCATATAGTTCAGGTTGGCCTTGAACTTGTGGTGATCCTTCTGCCTCAGCCCAAAAATAAGTCCCTTTTTTTTGGTACCAGGATCGAACTCAGGACCTTGTGGTTATGAGGCAGGTGCTTAATTTAAGCCTCTGAGCTACATCCCTGGCCCTTGAAGATAAATTCTTTAATATATTAAGAGTTTCTCCCCTAAAAGGTGTTTTTTTTTTTTTTTTTTTTTTAAGAAACTTGAATGAACAACGCTTAAGATCAGAGTATCATATCCTCAGTGACAGAGCGTTTTTTTGTATTTTAGGGAGGGGTCCACAAGGTGTGCAGGGTCTCACTACTAGATCAGACTCGTCGTGATCTGCCTGTTTATAGCCTCCCAAGAGCATGCACCACCACACCCAGTTTCAACTGTGTGCTCCAGGGGCAGGGGCAGCACAGGATTGAAACCCCAGCCCCTGTGCCTGCTTTGCAGGTGCTGCTTTAATCCACTGAGCTATTTGGCCAAACTCTCCCTTAAAAGTTGAAACATTAAAAAAATGAAATTTTGTGAAGGCAGAGACAGCGTGTGGTTTGTTTACACTGTATCCTTGAATGATCCTGCTATAATATTTACTGAGAGTGTACTATGTGCCAGTTGTGATTTTTGGTTCCAGTGATAAGTTTTTTCAGGTGCACAGCGCAGAGGACACAGAGACAATTTGGGAAGATAAGAAATGCTCTGGATTGGAACAAAGGGAGGCTGAGGCTTTTATGGCCTTTTTTCAGGGGTGAGGTTTGAAGGGATGTTTAGATAGACCCGAGGAGCTGATTTGGCGTGTGTGTGTGTGTGTGTGTGTGTGTGTGTCTTCCCTGAGGTGGCGGGAAGGGTGAAAGGAAACTGTACCCTGGGCTGAGTTGGAAAAGTGGGGAGGTGGTCTTGGGGAAGATGGGCTTTTGTTTTAAGGGCATAGGCCATATTAGACGACCATCATAATGCTTCAGCAATTCATACTAGGGCCAGAACCTATCACTAGAAGTAAACATTTTGTTCTGAAGGACCTTACATTTCTGTGGAGGGAGTCAGGACAATAGATAAAGGTAAAAAAAAAAAAAAATCTGTCAGGTAGTAATAAGTACCATTAAGAAAAAGCAGGGAGGGGCTGGTGAGATGGCTCAGTGGTCTAAAGCACCTACTTAGAACAAGCTGAGCAAAGCACAGGGACTGCGGTTCAATCCCCCAGCACCACATGCCAGCCAGCCCTGCCCCCTGATGGGCTGAGCTGGCCACACACACACACATACACACACACACGCACGCAAATAAATAAAATTTAAAAAAATGTCAACAACAGATTAAGAAAAAGCAGGGTAAGGCAAAGAATGGGTTAAAATACTAGAAGGGGATGATTCTTATCTATTTTTGCCACAAACAGTGAAAAAAAAATCTATTTGCATTTAGTATTAACACCCATTAGAGAAAAAGTTAAGCAAATTAGAATTAAAATTCCCAGAACCAGTCAATAAGTGCAAAATTATGTTTTCAATTTGAATAACACTGACTCTTTCCTTGGGCCCTAAAAATTTAACTATGTTTTCCCTCTTACACCCCCACACACCCCTCTGAGAGGTGGCCAAAGTATGAGCATGTCTGCTAAGAGAGGCAAAATATGATTATGTCAATGTTCTAAAACAAGAATAGCTATTGATCAATGTTTTTTATTCTTCTCTCGTTGTTGGGACAAATACCCGACACAGGAAAGGTTTATTTAGCTCAAAGTTACTGGAGGTTTCAGTCCATACTCAGCTAGCTCCAAGACAGAGAGGCACAAGGCAGAGAGCAACCTTTCCTGGTGGCAGCAAAGAGCAGAGAGCAAAGGGAAGGGCTGCGGCTAGGCAGCTAGCTAGCCTCTTTCCCCTCCTCACATTATAATGCAAATTATTTGTCCTAGGGCAGGTGCAGCATCCATACCCACAGTAATCAATCAAAATTCTAGAAGCCTCCCCAAGAACTGGATGAGGCTTTGGGGGTACACCTAGACACAAACCATAACAATTGATTTGTGGGAAGGAGTAGGGAAGAGGGAAGGCTGATTAATGGGTTGTAAATTGCTGTTAATGAGGAAGTTCTTGTGTGCCAAACTATAGGTAACACTTAGGAACTCTGTATTGCAAAAAGCTAGGATTCTAAATATTTTCATCATAAAGAAATGATAAATGTTTGAAGAGTTTGATACATTTAAGCAGATTTATTTATTGATTTTTCATTTACACAGATTAAAACACCATACCATATATACATGTATTAGAACATCACGTCACACCTGATAGGTTCTGGCCCTAGTATGAATTGCTGAATTATTATGGTGGTCATCTAATATGGCTGAAGCCCTTAAAACAACAGCTTGTACAGGCCTGGGGAGATAGCTCAGTAGAATAAGCGCTAGCCTGGCAAGTGCAAGGGCCTGAGTTCAATCCCCAGTTCCGCCAAAAAAAAAAAGCTTATCTTCCTCGAGACCACCTCCTCCCTTCTCCAACTCAGCCCAGGGTGCAATTTCCTTTCACCTTTCCCCCTGCCTTAGGGAAGACCCCAATCAGCTCCTTGGGTACATCTAAACATCCCCCTCAAACTCCTCCCCTGGCAAAAGGCCAAAAAGGCCTCAGCCTCTCTTTGTTTCAACTCAGAGAATCCCTTATCTTGCCCAGATTCTCTCCCTATCCTCAAAGATAATAAAACCCCTTTCCCTTTTTCCTTCTGCCTGTTTCTCTGCTGCAATACCATTAAAAAACCTATCAGCACCCAATTAATACATGCATTTTTAATACATCAGTTAAATAAAGTGCCCTTCCCCATCCACATCCGCTGTAGAAATCAACGAAGACCCTAACTTTTAGGACTGGGGATGTTGCTCTGTGGCAGTGTGCTCTGCTTGCCTAATGTGTGGGAGCCCCTGGATTCTATCCCCAGTATGGGGAGGAAAGGAAAGAAAAACAAGCAAATCTGACTTTTAGGAATCTATAATATATAGAGGAAAAGAAAAAACCTCTTATTTAAAAAATGATGGATTTCTTCATGAATCTCAACACCTTGCCTAACCTAACTTTATTTTGTAACTTTTTAGGGTTTAACAAATACCAGGTCATGGGCGGGGGACATGGCTCAGTAGAATAAGTGCTTGCCTGGCAGTGCAAGGGCCTGAGTTCAATCCCTGGTCCCCCCACCAAAAAAAAAAAGAAAGACAAATACCAGTCATCACTAAGGTTAGAGATGAAACAGGCAAAAAACCAGAAATGCCATCAAATAAGCTGATTTGGTGGTTCACAGAACCTTGTTCTGCAATACTAATTATACAAATTACACACTGAGAATGCTATGTAAGATGATCAGATAAATAAAGAAAAAAATGACTAACTCTATCCTGTTTCTTTCTCCTTCCCTCTTTTAAGGCAGTATCCATGATTTCAAGTGGAAGTTCAGGATCAACATCCTGCATGTCTTCCATGCAGCAGCTGTTTCTACGTGGTGGAAGGCACTGCCACAGAGTGATGTGACAGAATACCAGGAAGCTCCACGAACTGAGGGCAGGCTCACAGGCTACACAACACTCATGTTTTTGCAGCTGCAGAACTGAGCCCTGGCCTTGAGTTTACCTTGTTTCCTGTACCAGCACAGCAGATGCCCAGGGCCATCGCGGCTCCGTAGCGCACATGGGGGTTGTAACTCTCGGACAGCAGAGAGACCACACTGGGACACTGCTCAGGGGTCCTGAAAATGAGGAGAGAAAAGGAAGTCAGTGGTGTGGGGAACATATCACAAATCAACACATAAGGATTTTTTTTGGCGGGGGTTGGGGGAGGGAGAACACAGGTCTCACTACACAGTTCAGACTTGTAGTGATCCTCCTGTTTCATGCTCCCCAGTGCTGGGATTACAGAAGTGAGCCATCATGACTGGTTCAGGAATCCAGCACAGCAAGTCCAGGGTTCTGGGGCTGGCACAGCATGCAGTACTGGGGATGAAACTCATGCCCGTGTACTTGCCAGGCAGGTGCTTGTACCACTGAGCTGTCTCCCCAGCCCCCAGATCTTTTCTTTTTAAGTTATGAGAAACAACAGAATATCTAACATGTTGCTGAATTATAAGCCTCTCAAATAATCTAATCATTGATAGCAGAATCATGTGTTCCTATTGAGAACACATGCCAGAAAGAGACCCCTCTACACCATAGCTCTGCATTGCAGTCACTACCTCCCATCCTCTAGGGGATGCAGCCGTGCAGGGCTGAGTATCTGCTTCCCTGTGTCTGGACCACTCTGTGTTTTGTTCTGAAGACTGAAGTCATTTACAGAGACTCTTAGATGTTTTCAGAGCTGTGTGCAAGATTTAAATATCATAGTATTGCTCTTGGTACATAGCAAACTGATGAATAAGCCTTGATAGTAAGGAAATTCTAAACTTTTTTGCCTTTAGCAACTTAACTGTTGGTAAGAATAGAGAAGCAAAGGCAAAAAAGAATAAACTTGACAGTCAAGTACTTGAGCCCATTTTCAAAATGAGACTGTACAATCCGGGAAGGTTGGATTACTTCCACCATAAGTTCTGTCTGCAGTCCAGTTGATAACTCTCCTCCCAGTGTTCCAATGTTTCCTTATTGTCTGGTTTTGCTCATGTCAATCTGTTTAGCCTTTCTAATTCCACACTACTAAAATTCTGTCCATTCAAAAGCTTGGTTCAAAAGATAGCACAGGGTATGCTTTGTGGGTATATTTGAAGGCCAAATGAGATCATGTATGTGAAACTGATATGAAAACTATGAAAGCATCAGATAAATACATATTCCTGTAGTGCCCTTTCTGTACCTTTAAGACCTCACAGTTGGGTCTACTTATAGCTATTGAGCAATTATTATATATGAGGTAATGCGTTTAGACTACAACAAGCATTTGGAAAGCGTTGAATAGTCCTGGTTTAAACTCCCTTACAACTTAGTAGGTGAACAGCTGCCAATCATCTGAGAAAGTAGTTCTAATCTAAGTCATTTTTGGGTGAGTCATGCTCCCCTACATACAGATATAGTGTTGGTAGTCATCTTTAAAATGAAGTGATATATCCTCTGAGGTTTTAAAATATACTTTATATTATCATGTAAAGAACTGTCATGTCGTAATTCATCATGAGGTACAAGATTATAGGGCAACAAGTACAAATATTACTTGAATCCCAAGCACCTAATTCCGCACGTGAGCATGTGTGTTTCTGAGTGAACCCAGGGATTAATACATACTTGGCAAGTGCTCTAATAGTGGACTATGTTTCCAGCCCTGTAATTCACCTTTTTAATGAAAAGAAATTACAGTTTGTTTTAAAAAGTGAGACACACACCAAAATAAGTAACTAAATTCTTATTTAATTTAATTTGTTGTCTGAATAAAATTTCTAGGCTTGCAGCTAACAGCCATCTTGCCAATGTTACTATTTGTACAAGACTTCCACAAAGCAGGAATTGTGCAAGGGCATGTGCAGAAATAACCAGCATATCATCCAACCATAAACTGCATGTATGAATTCCTATCTTTCAATGCACACTGGCTTTTAACTGTTGCTTCTTTATTGAACATTTTGTGTAATAAATATTTATTCCACAATAAATTACACAAATAAATGTAGATATTTTCAAGAATGCCTTGTTCCTCCCTCTATGTTCACAAAGAAGAAAAAAGCACTTTCTCTACACAGATAGAAATGCTTTTTTAGCAAGACCATCACAAAGCAAATTTTTGAGGCTATAAACCCCAGGATAATCACCATGTAGAATTATAAGTTGGTTTTTTTTTCCTCCGAATGCCTTCAGGCCAGGTTTGGCTGGCTGGAGTGTTGTGGGGATCGAACTACAGCAACCTGAGGCTGACAGCTTGGTGGAAGCAGCCACTTAAAGGACTGAGCTAGGGCCAGGCCCCCACCATGTAGAATTATGAACCTATAATCTTCACCAAGTGCCACAGTGTCAGAGGACAAGACTGTATTAGAACACAGCCATCTCAGTTTAAGTCCCCTGTGCTCATGAACAACAGATTCCAAATAATGTGGGCAGAATCTTAAATTTCTACGAGCCTTTGGGTATATTTTTATTTTATTTTGTTTGTTTGTTTTTGGGGCAGGACCGGGGATTGAACTCAGGCCCTTGTGCCTGCCATGCAAGCACTTATTCTACTGAGTCAGCTCCCCAGCCCCTGGGTATCTTTAAACAATCACAGTACACCTGCCCCTACACTGCTCTCCCCCATGACCTTCAGCCACACCACTGCTCTCCCCTCACTCTGCACACTTAATCTGCCAATGTCACGTGGCACCATTATGTCTTCTTTCTGCTGCCTTGTCTCAGCCGTGATCACCTTGTATGAGATAGTGATCTTTTTTTCTTTCTTTTTTTGTATTTTAGGGAAGGGTCTACAGGGTGTTCAAGGTCTTACTATTAGATCAGACTTGTAGTGATCCGCCTGTTTACAGCCTCCCAAGAGCTGGGATTATAGATGCACACCACCATGCCCAGTCTCAATTACCTCTCAGTGCAGGGCCGGCACAGCAGGCCTGGGGATCAAACTCCTGGCCCCTGTACCTGCTTGCAGGTGCTTTAATCTGTTTAGCTATTTGGCTGGCCCTAAAATAGTGGATTTCTTATGCAATCTTTATCTCCAAAGAACGCAGGCTTAGAATCAGAAAGCCCTAGATTCTGATTCTCATATAATCATTTATTAGCAAGGTGACAAGTAGGAAATCTCTCTAAACCTTAATTGTTTAATCCACAAAATGATGTCTCCTCCATTTTATATACACTAATAGTGGTGCTTCAGTGTAAAATACTCCCTGCTGTCATTAAAATCTTGAAGCGTTAACCAACAATGGGCTTTGGATCTAAGCTCCATGTGTTGGTTGACACACCTGTAACCCTAGCAATCTGGAAGACTCAGGCAAGAGAATCACAAGTTCAAAAGGAGCCTGGGAAACAGCTAGACTCTGTCTCAAAATAAAAAAAATAAAACAGACTGAGGATTCAGGTCTGTGGAAAAGGGTTTAAACACTAGAACAGCTAAAACAAAAGAATCTCAAAACAATATACTTGTCTGTTAATATCTTATAGCGGGGCTGGGGAGATGGCTCAATGGAATAAGCGCTTCCCTGGCAAGTGCAAGGGCCTGAGTTCAATCCCCGGTTCTGCAAAAAAAAAAAAAAAAAAAACTTATAGCTTAGGCTTTTGTTTTTTATTTTTGTGGCTTTTGCTTTTTAAAAAGGCTGATTATATTTTGTATTTAGCATTCTGACCTTCAGATTTTCTCAACATTTTAGGGCCCTAAGAGCAAGGAGTACTTAGCCAGCACTTGCTCTGGCTATAGCAAGGGCAGGACATTCCCAGAGAAACTGACTCACAGGAAAAGAGTTTATCCTAAAATCTATTTTAAAACAATTTATTACACTGAGAATAAATAAGTTATCACAATACTATTCTTTTTAAAAATTTATTTTAATTTATTTTTGAGACAGGGTCTCACTATGTAGTACAGATTGGCCTTGAATTCAAGGCGATCATCCTGATTCAGCCTCCTGAGTGCTGAGATTACAGACATGAGCCTCCACATCTGGCAACAATGAAACTACTCTTAAACCAACCTTGAAACTCAAGGTCTTGAAAGGGCATAGAGTTTACCTTAAATTGTGTTTCCCTCAGGGCATGATTTCATGAGGTCTAGAAAAACTTTGCCGGAGAACAAAAATTCTGTGAGTCAAATGTAAAGCTTTACCTAGCTGACTGCAGTAAAGGTGAAATAGGCTGTGAAGGCTATAAACATAGAGGCTTACTTTAAAGAACTTGTCAGTTTCTCAATCTAGTAACAATTTCACCTCTGACACATTCTTGAGAAAGAAAGTGTGATGGTAAGGAGTGATGAATTTTTTAATAAATCAGCTTAGATGTTCAGCCTCTTTCAGAGTACAAAAAGCACAATATTCTTCTTGTATGTTTATTTCAATGCTTCAGCAGGCAGCTCTAAAAGGACAAAGGAACCTTTCCAAACAATGATCAGAATGCAAACACTGAGAGTGAAACTTGTGAACATTAATCCTTATTCTCACAGAGATATATGAAATATTTATAGATAAATCTTTAAGTTTAAAAATGAAGTTATGATAAAATTGTGTCACCATTTTGCAACCTGTAGTGAGTCAATGGATCCCAATGATTACCAATGACAGTTAATGTAATAAAAGAGAAACATTTAGACCTTCTGTGTCCTGCCAGCCTTGCTCCTCAATAAATAGGAGGAAAAAATGAACAAGTATCTATACTCAACTATAGACAGCAGTACTGCCTACTGAATCATTGAAATAAACATGCATTGTGCTTCTGTTGTATTCAACTATTGGTTTATAGGAAATTACAGAGGATCATATATGTTATAAACTAAACATTGAGAATTGTCAAAATCTGTATTATGAGACACTAAACAGGAAAACTGGTCTGCTTTTAAAAAATGCAAAAAGAGACAAAGTGAGGAGTGTGTGTGTGTGTGTGCATGTGTAAGAGAGAGAGATAGGGAGAGAAAAAAATGCAGAGCAGGCAGATTAAAGAAAATTAATGGGCTGGTGAGATGGCTCAGTGATCTAAAGCACCTACTTAGAACAAGCTTAGCAAAGCACAGGGACCGCGGTTCAATCCCCCAGCACCACATGCTGGCCGGCCCCGCCCCCTGGTGGGCTGAGCTGCCCCCCCC